CGAAACGTCAGAAAGAAACTCTAGAACATGGCCACACAGCCCGAAAAACCCCACAAAAAACCTATATATATTTTGTTCAGGAATAGGAAAACAATAGTGCATAAAACCCTAACTAGATACATTTTTGTCTGGCTTTCTGTCTACACAGTACCCCATATGAAATAAAGTTGGGAGAGTATCACACACGCATTTTTAGCCCGATCTGTGCACGGGGTAGGATGAGGAAGAAATGGGAGAACGTGTGTTACCGCTCATGAAAATGCTGCCCTGCCGCCGCCTGACCAACCCCCCCCCCCCGTCCCTGACCACCACCCATCCCTTGACAGAAGCTCCCCATCCTTGCAAAATCAGCTGGATAAGCAAGGCTTGGGCACAGGTGGTTGTTGGACGGCAGCACAACAGCATTTTCATGAGCAGTAATATTCGTTCTCCCTTGTTCTGGTCCGATCCTATCCCATGCATGGATCGGGCCAAAAGATGTGTGCGATAAACTCCCTGGTCCCTAAGATTTATCTGTCCTATTGTCAACTGGCAAGCTCAAAAAAGGATACTATGCTGTATATAAGAAACAATTTGCATTTTTATTATAATATTCTCTCTCATGCTATATTTTTTAAAAAGAATCACAGCTATCTTTGTATAGGTTCTCTGTAACTCACTCCTCTTCAGCAATGGTTATATAATGAAATTAACACATCCCACACAGCATGCTTCCTGTATTTTTTCTCTGAATGGTTATGCTTTCTGGGATTGCTTATTTTTTTTGGGGGGGGGGGGAACCCACACAGGAAAGCACTGTGCTTATTCTAAAACAAATAAAGAGATTTGACTAGAGTTTTGACATACTTATACTTTTGATATACCTTCATCATTTGAAAAAATTGACATATTTATGCACAACAATTAGGACTGAGTTTCACAGAAAAAATTAGCTACTTTGATTTTTTTGGGCAGAAAGATATGATATAAATGTAAGTAATTGGAATAATATTGACCTTTATAACTATGAGACTTAAAGCAGCATGAAGCTCTCTGAACACCACAAAATGCACTATATAAAGGCTAAATATATTTAAAACATGGTTCTTTCTTCAAGTAACTTCCTGCTTTAGTTTATTCCAGCACTCTAAACTGTCCCCAAATATGAGTGCAACACAAGGAAAAACAGAGTGGAGCAAATTTGAATACATTTTTATCAACTGGTCTGATTACTTAGTGTAGTTCTTTTCTAATAAAGCACCACCATCACCTTTCTGCCCCATTTCTTAAGACTCACTTTTGCACTGACTTAGGGTCTTCTAAATGACAGGTTTACATAGGATGGAAACTCAGCACTTAAAGAGGTGTCAAATTGTGTGGGTTGTTTGTTATTTTAAAATACTCAAGCAGGGATTTGAACTCTGGCCTCCAGAATCATAGTCCAAAGCTCAAACCACTATCCTATGCTAGCTTTCACCAGCCATCATTTTTTATAAATACCAAAAAAATCCAAAACCCATACCTTAAGTGCCTCCTCCACTGTGTGCTCCTTGAAGCAGGATTAACTAACCGATCCTACTTCCCAACAGGGACCCCCAGTCTGTTTCAAAACCAAACTTGGCATCTAAGATATTTAACCAAACATACACAATTACAGCCCAAACCACTACTCTACGCTGTCTCTCTAACTAGGCTGCCAGCATGAAAACATGATGAACTTGTTCTGTATCAAACCTATTTTAGAATCATTGAATCAGAGTTGGATGAGATCTCAAGGGCCATCCAGTTGGAACTCCTGCCATGCAGAAACGCACACTCACAGCACTCTCAACAGATGGCCATCCAGCCTCTGTTTAAAGACCTCCAAAGAAGGAGACTCCACTACTCTCCGAGGGAGTGTGTTCCACTGTCAAACAGCTCTTACTGTCAGGAAGTTCTCCTAATGTTGAAGTGGAATCTCTTTTCCTGTAGCTTGCATCCATTGTTTCAGGTCCTAGTCTCTGGAGCAGCAGAAAACAAGCTTGTTCCCTCCTCAATATGACATCCCTTCAAATATTTAAACACGGCTATCATATCACCTCTTAACCGTCTCTTCTCCAAGTTGCCAGCATGAAGACAAGAGAGGGCACCTGTTCCTTCAATAGTTGTACAGATGAGGGAATTTCAGGAAGGGATGCTAGTTACCGGGTTATGTGACCAGCAACCCCAATGGCAGTGGCTCCCAAACTTTGGTACTCCAGGTGTTTCAGACTTCAATTCCCATAAAATGCTGTGCATTTTAAATTTTAAGTTTTTTTTTATTTTTAACATGTTGTATTTCAATTCATAACTGTTTTAATTTTATTTTTTTTTTAGATTTTGTATTTATACATTTTAATGTTGTACTGTTTTAAATTATATTGTTTTTAAATTTGCTGTTAGCCATTTTGAATCCCTATGTTGGGAGAAAGGCGGGGTATAAGAAAATAATAATAATAATAATAATAATAA